CATGAGAGCATGTTCTAGTACACCCCCAAAACAAAATCAAGACTTTGTAAAAGAGCATAATAGGATCCCTTTAAAATGCATTTGAAGTAATTTAGCATTAATATTGCATTTTCAATATACAAGACTTGAAATTGCGACCATTTTGGTCCCATATGCTCCCCAAATTTAATCTGTGCAACCTCAAAATATATTTGGGAACATTTGTGCGAGTGCATATAATTGTTGTTGTGGAACCTGTTTTAATTTCTCTAAAAACGTTCAGAGTATGTGCCTTCTGAGTGTTGATACGGTGACCTGTCTGCCGTTCTATGAAACGTTAGGCTACATAACCAATTAAACTTCATCTTTACATTCTTAACTTTAATGCAGATTTTAGACTGGTTAATATTAGCTGTCAATCACCCAGTCACTGCTTTCCGCTGTCAGGTGACAGGGAGCTAACTACCGCGGGGAATGTAAAGGGCTGAAGAAGAGAGAAAATAAAAAAAAGAAACACGGATAGATTTATTTTGTGAACCACCTAAAGTTACAAATAATGGTGCTGGTGATAGCGATCATGTGGTGAATGTTGATCCACCAGCCGAATAGAAGGCGTACAGTTTTCGGAGAAAATGGTTGAAAGACTTCGAGTGGCTTCGCTATGAAAATGCACTGTGCTCTATGCACTGCATTCACTGTAAAGCCTGTGGGACAGAGTTTACAGGTAACACAGTGTTTGCCCTTGAATCAACTCATTTTAATCCTGAAGACCTTGATTAGCTTGTTCAGGTGTGTTTGATTAGGGTTAGAGCTAAACTCTGCAGGACAGTGGCACTCCGACGTTGCCTATCCCTGATATAGTTAATCAATATCACAAGAAGAGTGCTGTTTCCTCCAAAAATCAGCCTGATTACAAATGTGATATTGATTTTATACAACTGTTCAACAAAAAATTAGTTAATATTAAGAGACTTATGTTTTAGACACTATATTTACTCTTTTTGCTCTATTTCGCCAACAAAAATAATTCCAAGCACAGTCACAGCGCTGTTTTGCGTCTCTGAGAACCAATACAAAATCTGCATTAAAGTTAAGAATGTAAGGATAAAATCTGTTAATATATAATTTGTAGTTGTGGTGCTCCTAAATTTTTGGTGAGTGCTCCTACATTTTTGCTGGTGCTCCTAACTTTTTGAAGTTGGGAGCACCAGTGCTACCAAGTAAAAAAGTTAATTTCGAGCCCTGATATATGACGAATAAAATTTCACTCTGTCACACAAAGTCTGACTTTAGATTTTGAAGTTGCAATAAAGCACACTAGTGGCCACAACAGTCTTCATACAATCACCTGTGTTTCACAGAAGAAAGTAAGTCAAAAAGGTTTGAATTTGAGTAAATGATGGCAGCATTCTCATTCTTGGGTAAACTTGTCATTTAGTTCAATTCAATTCAATTCAAATTTATTTGTATAGCGCTTTTCACAATGCACATTGTTTCAAAGCAGCTTTACAGAAAATGCAATGTGTCTACATTACAATTTAGAGTGATCTGTTATCAGAAGTGAATGTGCCCCATTAATGTTCATTTCACAAATGAACAGTTCAAGACAATAGAATCATACAGTTAGCTAACATGAATTAATTTCAGGCAGAAGCTCATTAAAGCGATTTTTACAAGTGTGATCATAATGATTACAATATAGAGAAATTTTGGCATCTGTGCATGTCGATTCAAGTTGGCATCATCTGGGGTCCTCGCAGGGGTCAGCATCATCTCTTCACAGGTGTGGGGTCATCTGAAGTCTTTCTATGAGGCTGGATCCACGCTGGAGCTGGTGTAATCTCCAGTTACCTCGAGATGGGCATCCCGGGGTAGGAACAGAAAGACAGACAGAAAAGAATTAGTGTAGCTGCTGTTCATAATGTTTCAAGCAAAAAAAATAAAATAATAATTATATATATATATATATATATGTGTGTTTGTCCTGTCAGCAGATGTGTCTTATATGATCTTATGGTAAAGTCTGGTGACGAGTGTTTTCACCTCGTTTAAAATAATGAAAATGCCAGATAGAGGGGGACTACTATATTCTCCATGCATTCACTGCAGCTGAAGACTGAACTTAAAGGAAGAACCAAACATAACCAAGTTGAGACCTCAGTCACAGTGGCGTTTACCGCTTCAAGCATGACTTCTACAAGAGAAATGGTGAATTGGAGAATGTATTTAGTGTAAAAGAGGGGCAACCCAGTTGAGATTGGTGACTAAAAACATGGAAAGTTCAGGTGGTGCTCTTCAACAAACCCTCAAGGCACAATGCTCCGGTTACTAATGTAACCTTGGTTTCCTGAGACGAGGGAGCGAGCGTTGACACACTTATGGGGAAACTCCTGTTTACTCTGATACTGAAGCCTGATTGGTTCATGCTCGTGTGGCTGCACGAACCAATGGCACTTCAACCCGCCAAAAGGGGAGGAGCCGACCTCTATATAAGTCGGCTCTTAGCGCCATTTCATCAGAAACTTTGGACAGAAGCCACAGTCATCGACTCGCGTGCAGTCTTATAGCACGGCAGCCTACGCGACGCTCGTTCCCTTATATCAGGGAACCGAGGTCATGTTAGTAACCGTAGCATTCCCTATCCACCGTTCTCTCCCGTTGCGTTTAACACGCTTATAGGGAATGCGTCCAATAGCGCCTGCTATGAGCAAGTGCAGAACGAAGCTGCTCTGCAAGCCCAGCCCTGGAGCACTCATGCTAAGGGCTCCTGTAAGCTTGAGCCAATAATGAGAGACTGTTCGACACTGTTTCAGTGTTTGATGACGCCACGAGTTATTACAGACACTAGGAAGTTAGAGCATGAAGTCCCAGTTCAACTTTGCCTCAGGAAGCTCTAAAATTCCTGTTTAAATAGCCAAAATGAGGCCAGCTGCCCTGCCAACAGAAACAGGATAGAGAGGAAAATTACATGATGCCGGTTCATACTTGCAAGCTATGCTGAAATAGATGTATTTATGTTTTTTCCCCACTCATCTCTGGATGCAGTGTGCTTTATTTACTTGTAAGATGCACATGTAGCAAAGCTGGTTCTCATTGTACAACTGAAGGGGACATTCTGACTTCAATCTTATATAATAGATCATGCTAGTTCACTGAAAAAATCTGACCTACAGAAAATAGTTAATATTAGATAAAGGCTTTGAGTTTACTTTTATTGTAAATCGTAATATTAATGAGTTAAAGAAGGCCTACTGATCTTAATTAAAGAGAAAACTCAAACGAAGTTCAACCTCTTGAAATGTCTCCAGTCTTATTGCGGTGCAGTTTTATCTCTCACCAGTAGATGGTACATAAGACGCCTTTTGAAAAACATTTTTTTTTGCGTTTACGCATGACCTCGTGATCATTTCAAGAGGTCTTTCAAAGTAGTACTAGTTACTAGTTAGCACCATGAATATACCAAATAAATAAATATATAAATAAACCCACCTGCGATTTTTTGTGTGGTCTGTCATCGCTTGGCGCGCCGGAAGTTGTCTACACGTCATATTCATGCGCCGTGCGCGCTCAGCGTTGAGCTCACGCAGGTCCAGGTTGAACGTCTGAACTACAAACATGGTAAAATAAAGATCCTTCTTTAGCTAATGGCTTTTAGATGATCATGCTTGTATGAGTGTACATTTATAAAAGTAATCACATCGCTTGTTCTCTGAAAACGACTGTATCTTCTGTAATACGAAGCGAAACTCGAGAGCGGAGTCATTTTTCACCGCTGACAGAAGTTTGTCAAGTAACCAGATTTAATAATAAACGTAACGTTACATTACGCAGTTCCTCTGATCAGATGCTTATAAGGTTTCTCAAGTATGAGAGTTGCATTTTCATACGGGTATATATGTTATATCGTAACGCTACATGTGAGCACCTGCTTAAATGAACGATTGCTGTTTTTATTTCTAGGCTCGAAACGCAGAAAAGGCCATGTGAGTGTTTTCCTCTTATATTTCTGTCAGAACTTTCTCTTGTGTCCTCTGCAGAACTTCCTATCAATGCTTTTTCCTTTATTCTGCAGGACGGCCTTGGCCAGGTTTCGTCAAGCCCAGCTTGAAGAGGGAAGGATTAAAGTGAGTGCACTTTGTCATCTAAACACTGATGTGCTGAGAGCATCTCTATGGCTTGTGCTTGTGTTCACCTGATCATATGACACATTCACAGGAAAGAAGACCTTTTCTTGCTTCAGAGTGTAATGAGTTACCTAAAGCAGAGAAGTGGAGGAGACAGGTCAGAAGATTCTGGTTAAATGCTATAATGCTACATATGCATATTAACTCGGTTAACCTCCATTTTTCTTGCACTTCTAGATTATCAGTGAGATTTCAAAGAAAGTCGCCCAGATTCAAAACGGTGAGAATATGTACAAGGAAAAAAAGCAAACATGAAATGTACATGTGGCGTTTACTAACTAAACTCCTGCCTGTCTTCCTCAGCTGGTTTGGGGGAATTTAAGATTCGTGATTTGAATGATGAAATCAACAAGCTGCTCAGAGAGAAAGGACACTGGGAAGTCCGAATCAAGGAACTGGGAGGCCCTGACTACAGGGTAAGAATATGAGTGCCGAGTTAAATGATTTTTATTGCATTTTTTGTCCATTTCATCTCAAATCATATTACATTTAATGCATATGGTTGCTGTATTAAATCAAATCAATTACAAATGTATATTTCTAACTTTGATCAGAATGTGCTTTGTTTGCCAAGTGCGTGCAAACACACAAGGAATTTGTTGTTTTGTTTTCATAGCATCTACAGTGAGCTCCTGAGATAACCAGTGAAAATAGTTCAGTTTTGCATGTTTCCAGTTTAATAAAAGATTCGATCGGCATAATAAACTGATCTCAAAAATGAACACAAGAATGTTTCAGTGTTTGGTTTGTCTTTTGCGTTAATGGAGCTGACATAAAACCTGAGATCACCCGAGCAATGTCACACATTTGCATTTAGTGGCTTTAAAATATTGAAATGTATCTGAAATACCTCGTCCCTATTTTATGTAATGATACTTTTTTGAATTCTTCAAAATCATATAATATTTGGTTTATTTCCCAGGTATGTAAATCCCAGGTTGTTCATGTGGTCTCAGAGGTTTAAACTGCGCTGTATTTGCTTTATGGCAGTGTTTCATATTTGTCAGCACGGCTTGAGCGTGTGTGTTTGCGTTTTAATAGAGAGTGGGGCCGAAGATGTTGGACCATGAGGGTAAAGAGGTGCCAGGAAACAGAGGATACAAGTATTTCGGTGCGGCTAAAGACTTACCAGGAGTCCGAGAGCTGTTCGAAAAAGAGCGTACGTTCAGTCACATAATAACTGATTGAGATCTGCTGTTTTCTATTAGTATTAGAACTCTGTGTGATGATATGTTGTAGCTGAGAGGTTAATGATATCTCTGGTTTAATAAAAACATTGTGACTTACTGTGAATTATTGCTGTCAGCATGTTTTGACGCCCAGTTCCTTTGACCAGAAATGTGCATTTTAGGCATCCTGTATAACATGATCATCTGAATATGTGAACATCTGCCTGACATTTATCTGTTTGATTTTCCATTGCAGCTGTAGCACCACCCAGAAAAACACGAGCGGAGCTGATGAAGGACATAGATGCTGACTATTATGGTTATAGAGACGAGGACGACGGCGCTTTAGTACCATTGGAACAGGAATATGAGAAACAAGGTGGGGCAAGTTCAGCTAAACGCTAGAAATACATAGTTTATCAGTGACTATGTTGACCAACACTGATGTTTTTTTTATACCTGATTAGGCTGATATTAGAAGCTGGTAATGTAAGGGCTTTTGTTTTCTAATTTTTATAGAAGTTGTTCAGCCAAAAATGGAAACTCGAATACATTTCTTTATTTAGCAGACAATTTTCTCCAAAGTAATTTAGCATACAAGCCAACAATACTTCAATACAGCAATGTCAAGTTTTAAGAATAAGGTAGATTAGTCATTTAATTCAATTTAAATGTGTATAGCGCTTTTCACAATACACATCGTTTAAAAGCAGCTTTACAGAAAATGCATGTGTCTACATTACAAAGCAGAAGTGAATGTGTCCAAGTAATGTTCATTTCACAAATGAACAGTTCAAGACAGTTCCATTATAAGAGCAGGAGAAAATCTTAGTGTCTTGAAGCTATGACTTACCTGAGCCTCTCGGCCAGAGCCTTTCTTCAGTTTCTGCTTCCTTTTGTCTTCATACTTCTTCCTGCTCTCCAGGTACTCCGTCACCGCCTCACTGGTCGGCTTACTGTCACCTTTGAGAGAAAAGAAGAGCGATTACAATCTAGATAAGAGAAATTAACTTCCTGTCATTCCAGAGCAGAAGTTATTACTATCATATGAACATAACTATGAAATACATAAAGTTTATACTGCTATAAACTGAGATGAAAATGACAGCTCCTGTGGGCCACTTCCTTCCAAGAATAATCATATAGCCAATGCCAAAATTTAGGTCCTAAGACCCTCATCAGTGCAAAGGCCAAAATGTATGACTTTTGCAGTCCAAATGACTTTCTGTGCTATAAAGAGATGGATTTTATTCAAATTATAAGGAAACACATGTGATATACAGACATATATACTGAAAGGATTAAACAAATGAAATGGGAAACACATCAAAATGTGTTTATGTAACACTGAGACTATCCCATCGTTCAAAATAATCACAGCGAACACTACAAAATTAAGAAAAACTAGACATACTGAGAAACTGCAAATGTCAGCATGTAAGCATCTAATGAAATAAAACAGTTCTGTCATGTCCTCTATGATATTATAACAGCTTTATTTGATGGCACTTTGCAGCGTAAGTGTGCACAACATGCCTATTCATTTTTCATTTCAAAGTGAAATGTAAACCAGAAAGATGACAATAAAGCAATACGTCACAAGATGATGTGTGTTACAGTGATTTCACCACAGAAAAGGGGGTTTTGGACACTCTGATTTGTGACAGAAATTTTATACAAGACAGCAATGTTCAATAAATAGTTACATTTATGAAAATAATTGGAATAAAGAATTCATTTGCAAAATAATATAGTTCATAAGCCAAACCGTTTACAGTTGTCACACAACGTTGCAACTTGCGTATTAAAGGGGTCATATGATGTTGCTAAAAAGAACATTATTTTGTGTATTTGGTGTAATGAAATGTGTTTATGCGGTTTAAGTTTAAAAAAACACATTATTTTCCACATACTGTACATTATTGTTTCTCCTCTTTGCCTTTCTGAAACGCGTCGATTTTTACAAATCTCATCGGTCTGAAAAGCGAGGTGTGCTCTGATTGGCCAGCTATCCAGTGCATTGTGATTAGCTGAATACCTCAAGCATGAGACGGAAATGTTACGCCTCTACCATATTGTGATGCCGTGTCCCGGCCGGAGCGACGAGAGAAAACCAATAAAACCTATTATAAACTAGGCATTTGTTGCATCCAGTGGGGACATAATTACGGATTATAATGACTTATACTGTCTTTTTACACGTTGCGTTGCATCGTGCCGCGTAAACATAAAACCATGTCTGCATTTGTGATCGGAAAAATGACAAACAACAAGTGCTACACTCTACACTGCCCAAAACTCGGGTTTGAATCGTCAGTGGCAAATTCTTTAAAACGTACTTACAGGCTGTGAGTCAGAAGCGCCAGACTGTCCTTGCAAAGTTGGAACTGCCCCACTTTATAGAAACAGCCTTTGTGCACAGACAATGCGTCTGTAGGCTACTCTGCAGGTTCAGGAAACAGTCCTCCGTAAAAATGTGCTGCACACATCTGAATATTTGGGTTGAA